TCTACGGAAACAGATGGTGTTGCCTAGGAGAAACAGATGTGTTCCAGGAGAACAGATGCTGTCCTAGGAGAAGCCCTGCCTGGAGGCCGGCGCGGCTGCCTCGTTTAGCGTCAGGCCTTCCAGAGGAAACCGTCTGGGCAAGTGGTAGAAAGATCCGATTGGACATCTCGTCATAGAATTATAGAAACCATACATCACGGAGGGACCACAGCAGCCAAGCTATGTCCGCATCATGTTGAGGAAACTGAGGCATAGGGAGGGGTTGGGCCTTGTCCCGGGAGCAGAGTTGGAAAGTTCACCAGCACTGTGGGCCCTCCCAGGGAACCGTCTCGGGGGCGGTCGGCGTACTTCCGCAGGGTATCTTCATTCAGCCCCTTCCTTGTTGCTGTTTATTCTCCCTCAATAACTGACCTTTTTTTTTTTTTTTTTTTGAGACAGAGTCTCACTTTGTTGCCCAGGCTAGAGGAGTTGCCGTGGCAGTCAGCCTGGCTCACAGCAACCTCAATCTCGGGGCTCAAGCGATCCTCTGCCTCAGCCTCCTAAGTAGCTGGGACTACAGGCATGCGCCACCATGCCCGGCTGAAAAAATTTTTTTTTTTTTGTATATATATTTTTAGTTTGGTCAATTAATTATTCTATTTTTCGGTAGAGACGGTGTTCTCGCTCAGGCTGGTTTCGAACTCCTGACCTTGAGCAATCGCCCGCCTGGCTCCCAAAATGTGCTAAGGATTACAGGGCGGAGCCCACTACGCCCGGCCGACCATTTTTTTTAATAGTCCTATGATTTATAGGTTTAATAAGCGTAGATTGAGTTCTTAGGGTGCATTAAGGAGGTGAACGGAACAGTTGAGCAGTTTCTAGACATCTATAGTAATAGTGGTGTTATGTATACTTAAAGGGCTATTTGTACCACTTAGAGTATTGTTATACTTTACCTATTTCCTGAGGGGCCTTGTGTAAGAAAGGCCCAGTAGTCCTTACCTCCCATTTTCTAAAGAGCCCATTTTGATCCAGGTGAGATATCAGTGTTTCCCTGAAAAAATTGTGGAAACTCCTTCTTTGGGACATTTGAAAAAATGACTTAGAAATTAAAAAAATTTTTTTCAGGGAAAACACCTAAAATCTGGCTCCAGTATTCTAACCCAGTCTCTCATGGAGTCTTACATAGGACAGGTGCTTACCTTGAGCTTCTCCCTTCTGAGTAGGAAAAGGGCACACAGAAAAACACTGTCTGTCTTCTGGAAACCAAAGAAAGAGTCTATCACCTCCTCGGTTACAGATGGAGCCTTTGAAGTGTTCCGCCAAACGGCGGCTGGCAAAGGCCTTGGTGAGGCCGAGGAGGAGAGATGCCTGGGGCCCCAGAGGGGCTGCGGAAACCCATGGAGCCACGGTGTCCCCCAGGCTGCTGGTGTGTGATAGGAAAGGTCACCCGCACTGTGCATCCGGGGACCCTTCCACCCACACAACACCGCCTGCCCGTCACCACACAGCGGAGCACTCTGGGGTCCGAGAAAGAAGGGAATCTGGCCGGGCGTGCTGGCTCACACCTGTCATCCTAGCACTCTGGGAGGCCAGAGATGGGAGGATCGCTCAAGGTCAGGAGTTCGAAACCAGCCTGAGCAAGAGCGAGACCCCGTCTCTACTAAAAATAGAAAGAAATTAATTGGCCAACTAAAAATATATAGAAAAAAATTAGCCAGGCATGGTGGTGCATGCCTGTAGTCCCAGCTACTCGGGAGGCTGAGGCAGGAGGATGGCTTGAGCCCAGGAGTTTGAGGTTGCTGTGAGCTAGGCTGATGCCATAGCACTCACTCTAGCCCGGGCAACAAAGTGAGACTCTGTTTAAAAAAAAAAAAAAAAAGAAAGAAAGAAGGGAATCTAAGACAGTTTGCACGTCCGGCTTTGCTCTGAGAGCACATTGCACGGTCCACTGACTCCTTGGGAACCAAACCCTTCCTCACAATGTGACCTTTGATGCTTCCAGGTGCCCCTGGTGCAACAAGGTCACCGAGAACCGCAGGACTCGTTTCATTTGAGACCAAACCTGTATTCCAACTGTGGGAATTTCCCGAACACCATCCTGCCAGGTGAGTGGCCACTCCCCGCTTCCTTACCGTTCCTATTTCGCTGCGTTTTCACAGACGGCAAAGTAAGATGGTTGTGGAGCTGACTGAACACAATGTAGATTCCAGGGCGGGAGCTGTGTGCCTGTGAGTGGTCAGTCCCTGGCGCGCACTGTCCCGGCTGGGAAGGTGACGGGGAGAGCACGGGGTGGGGGTGGGGAGGGCCTCAGGCGTCATCTCAGTAGCCGGGGGCCTAGCACCTCCTAATCACACTGCCCCTCCTCTCGCTGCTCCTTGCAGAAGACTCGAGCACCAGCCTGTTCAAGGACCTCAGCAGCGCGCTGGCCGGCATGCCGGACGTCAGCCTGAGCATGGACTCCCCGTTCCCGCTGGAGGAGGAGCTGCAGATCGAGCCCCTGAGCCTGGACGGACTCAACATGCTAAGCGACTCCAGCATGGGCCTGCTCGACCCCTCTGTTGAAGAGACATTTCGAGCTGACCGACTGTGAACAGACTGTGACCAAACCGGAGAATTGTTTTCTGAAACAGCCAAAATAGAACGGAATAGAACGGAGCCGGCTAACACCCCTGGGCTTTAGTTACCCTGACACGGAAGCAACCAGTTCCGCAGCCCCAAGCTTTCAGGCCAGGTCCCATCTCGGCCGCGGCGGCTTTCTCTAGACCACAGAGCTACGTACTGCCTCTCAGGCCCGTGCCGGAAGGTGCGTCGCTGCGTCAGGCTGCTGCGGAGCTGCCAGCGCCGTCCCCGTGCCGTGACACCTTTCTATGGGCCATGTGGACAGCCAGCGCGTGAGAATAGCAAACGCCCCGTGACCGGGGCCTCGGTGGCGTTGCGCAGTGCTCAGAACCACTGGCCTGCCAGCGCTGCACACGGGACCTGGAGGGGGCGGCCAGAGGGGTGGCCGGGGCCGGCGTAGGGGGCTCGGGTCACGCAGTGCCACCAGACCTGCAGACGCCTTCTCCAGCCTGACCTGGAGGGCGCCGTCCAGCTGGGGTGTCCCGGGGCAGAGAGCGGAGGGCCCGAGCCTGGCTCGCTCAGGTGCCTTGACTATAATATGGAGACGTTTGCCCACAAGTCGGACGGCACGCTCGCGTGAGGCCACCCGAGTGCTGATTTGTCTCCCGGTTTGTCATCTTGTTTCTGCTGCTTCACCACACCTTTTCCTTGCGGACGGGAGGGAAAGGAAGACTGTCTTATCTCGTCACAGAAAGGTTCCCTGGCGACGGATGGGCCTGAAGAGAGAACGGTGTCCCCTCCTTCTTGGTAGCCAGGGAGGAAAGCAGGGCCGGGCGGGGGGACCGCAGGGGTCTCCCAGGCACAGACATCTTCCAGACAAGCTCGGGGCAAGGACAAGGCCAGGCCTCCCTCCCTGGGACCGGTGGAGGGAGCCGCTGCGGGCCCTGAGCAGACCCGGCAGCTGAGCTTCCCGGTCCCTCCCCAGAGCTGTTTCTCTGTGGACCAGGAGTGTCATGTCACCCACTAGACTGTCAGCTCCTTGAGCAGGGACAGTGCCTTATTCGTCATCGAACCCCCAGTACCCAACAAGTGCCTGGCGGCATGCTCTGGTGTGCCAGAGTCCATGCTGCGTGACTGCGGGTTGAATGCTTGGATGGATGGGTGGATGGATGGATGAGAATGAATGAATGAATGAACCTGCCCTGCTGTAGGGCAGTCTAATCTGTAGCTATCCCCAGTCCCTGCCAGATCTTCTCAGAGCTTTAGCTTTTCTAACACTTGTGCCTATGGTTAAGCACGCACTTTAATACGCTTCTAACATTGGTGACCAAACTGCGACTCGACTGGGCACCGGTCTCCCCGGGGCCGCGCTCGCGGCACGGAGGGGGACGCCGTCTTCTGAGTGCGCCCACAGCGGCCCCGCGCCAACCGAGGTCCCCCGGTGCTGGGGCGGCGGGGGCCAGGCCCCACCTCGAAAGATCTTCCCTTTCAGATCCATGTCTCACTCTAAATGGCTTTCGGTAGAGATTCATTCTTCCAGGCTGAAGAAATAGTTTACAGTAAAATGAAGCCCTAATTCATGGAGCCATCATTAGTCATTAATCCCTTATCATGAAACAGTCTGAGCAGATCTCCTCCCCCGCCTGCCTCCCGGCCCTGGGCCAGGCCTGGGCCCGAGCCCCACGGTCGGGTTTGAGGGGGGCGGAACGCCGGGGGGCTAGGCGATGCGAAGGCGGGGAGGAGAGCCCGGCGGAGAGAGGAAAGATGCCGGAACCTTTGCGTGGACAGCCACTGCCCTCTCGGGATCCCAGGTGTGCCGCCGAGCGTCGCTGGACCGCCCCCGCCCAGAGAAGCAGGTCTGCACGACGAAGGTCTGACCCTGACACATCCGTCCCTTACCGCAAGAAGAGTCTTTGTCACCGGATCTGGGCTGGTTAGCCTTTCCAGACCTCGTCCCGCTTTGCTGCTGCCCTCAGAGGCCTTATCTCTGACCTTCAGGTCACCCCCGCGGCGCACCACTCCCCCTTCCCCTGGAGGCCGAGTGTTCCTGTTTAACATTTGCCCCAACCTCCAGGGCCGGATTGTGAAATCAAACGCCAGTCCTCCCCGCCCGATTTCTGGCTCAGGAAGGGGCTTCTGGCCTCCCTTTGCAGCCTCGTTCCCAGTCAGACTTTCAGATCCCTTTGTGCTTGGGATCTCAGAGGGGGGCGGCTCTTTGTTAAAGTGAAAGGGCCTTTCCCTGCAATGCTACCCGCCCCCCCCCCAGTGCCGAAAGAAGCCAGCTCCTGTGTCAAAGGCCCCAAAATCTGATCTCGCCCTTCAGCAGGGAGCGGTGCTCATGTTGTAAGAGTTTTAATTTTTGAAAAAGAGGTTGCAGCATTATCCATGCTTCCCATAGTGCCTTACCCGTGGGGATCACCATGTTGGGGTCCCAGTTCACTCTGCATGGCATCCCTGCCTGACAGCAGGAGACCCCAAGACCTACACGAGGCATTGCCGCCCCGGGGCGTTCTCCAGGGCATCGTGGGAGCGGAGGCTTGCAGGGGAAGTGGCCTGCTTGGGGAAGTACAGTGATGACAATGTGCTTTAGGACGGAATTAAATTTGTCCTTAGGCCCTTCAGTCCAATCTTTTCTTGCAAAAAGGTCTTGGACATTTTACAACCCACCTTGCCTGGGTGGAATCAGGGACACGCCAAGGACAGTGTGGCCCTCACCCTTCAGCGGCTGAGCCCGCACTCGTTGCTGCCTTCGTAACAAACCTGCCAGGACCCTCTGCGTCTGAAGGGGCCACACACTTCAGAATAAACTCTCCTTCGATACTTGGTTTTGTCACAAGCAATCGATCGTCGTACTACTGCCATTTCCTAGCAGTTACACAGCATAGAACTGAAAGCCTGTGCGTGTTTCCATTTTTTCCCCTCCGTGTGGTTGTGGTTTTTAGGACATAGGGTGTCAGGAGAAAATTTTCTTGATCGTGTCAAGATGAACATCAGTTCTCCTCCGTCCTGTTGCATTTCTCCTAAGTCTACTGTACATCGCCTCAGCTGAGACACTGCACATCCCAGTCTGTTCGGTACCGACTCCCGTCTGACCCCCGACTCCCGTCTGACCCCCGACTCCCGTCTGACCCCCGACCTGCGCACAGAGGGTCCCAGTGCGCTGTTTCCATCGCCTGGCGGATGGGACCATCGCCGCCGCTAATCAGACTTCCTGCCAGTGTCCTGACTCCCAGGGCCCCCTGTTAAACAATATTTAAGGAGTGGAATTTGTATAAAGTAGCCTCCAAGTTTTATAATGCATCATTTTACAACTTTGATAATTAAAAGCAGCACAGTAAGGTTGCATCTGCCTTTGGTGTTTTCCTTCAGCCTCCGGTGAGCCGTCGTGGCGGGAAGCCCTTCTCGCCCACCGAACCCTCCCGGCGCGGCCTCCGGTTGGGACTCTGGGCCTTGGTGAGGCGGGCCCTGCACCAGCGCTTGCCCGGAGTCCCCACTACAGGTGTCTGGGCGCTCGGTCCCTTCACCTGGGGCAGCTCCGTCTCCTGCCCGCGGCCCCCCCGCCCCTGCAGGGTTCTCTGCAAACAGCCGCACCCAGCGCCGTCAGAAAAGTGACCGTCTCCTTCTGAAATCTTACTCAGAAATCCCATTTCTGACCTCAGGTTTCCACGCCCCATTTCTGCTCTGGTGCACACACACCCCATTCTTTAACTCCACTGAGGATTCTGCCCCTTGTCCCCTCTTTTTCTCAGCCTGCCTGTCCTGTCCTGGCCCTTCCTTCCAGCCTGGTCCACCCTCAGCACCCTCCTGCTCTGATGTGCCACCACGAAACTCGGGCTGAGCTTCATTTGTTGCTGCTGGGAGCCCTGTTGGAAGAACCCAGCAATGCCAGTGTCCGCCGACCCAGTCCTCGCCTGCCACCCAGGGCGCCCACACCTCCGCCTCAAGCCCTCTCGGGACTTCGCAGGGGCCTCCTCTCTTCTCGCCCAGCAGTTCCAGGCCATCGAGGCCAGCTCCCTGAGCCTTCCACTTGCTGCCGATTCTGTCCCCTTCCCCTGTAAACTTGCCTGTCTGTCCCCGTCCTACTGCCTTCCCCGTGCCCCTCTGCCGTACCTGGCTTCTTGTTTTGGTGTGTGCCATTGACCTGATCTTTTTCCAAGGGCTTGTTGCCACTCCCCTAGGCCTTCCGCCCAGCCCTCTCCGTCGGCCTGTGAATGTGCTCTGTCTCCCTCCAGCCCCGGCTGCCGTCACACCTCAGCCCTGCTGCCTTCCCGTCCTGCAAGGGAGCTCACGTTCGTTCGACGCCACTCCCGGCCCTTCCCATCCACAGCCCGAATCTGCAAACTCCCTCTGCCCTGCACGATGCCAACTCTTCTGGCCTGTCCCAGTCCTGTCCAATGTCGCTCCCTGCCCTACTTGACCCTTCCCTGACATGTAAGCCATTGGCCACTCCCTTCCCCCCAAATCCTCTCTTTGGCTCCAGTGAGCCTTTTCTGCTCATTCTACTGCCCAGGTCACACATCCGTCACCTGTGTGCAACCGCCTCCTGCGCCACCTTTTCTTCTTCGGATCAGCTGTCCCCAGGCCGCCCTGTCCAGCCCTCCAGGCTGCTGACCCTCACATGTATCCCCCTACCCACACCTGCTTGTCAGCTCAGGCTCATTCCCGCTCCACCCCACGTGGCCCGATTCCGGCTTGTCCTTCGTAGATCTACATGCTCGGCAATCATTTGACAGCCTCCTTCCCCGCAGCACTCCGAACTCTGCAAGGACAGAATGCTACATCCCCAGTGCCTGGCACACAGTAGGTGCTCAATTAATACTTTACAGCTGTTGATCTGTCCTCCCTCTCTTGGAGCGCAGCCTCCCCCACCCCCATGCTCAAGCTGGAGAGCGAGCCGCTCTCCACACTCTCTGCACTCTCCAAAATCCAGTAGGGTCCACACTCCTCCTGCACCTCCCAAATCCAAGTAGGGTCCACACTCCTCCTGCACCTCCCAAATCCAGTAGGGTCCACACTCCTCCTGCACCTCCCAAATCCAGTAGGTCCACACTCCTCCTGCACTCCAAATCCAGTAGGGTCCACACTCCTCCTGCACTTCCCAAATCCAGTGGGGTCCACACTCCTCCTGCACCTCCCAAATCCAGTAGGGTCCACACTCCTGCACCTCCCAAACTCCAGTGGGTCCACTCCTCCCGCACTCCCAAATCCAGTGGGGTCACACTCCTCCTGCACCTCCCCAAATCCAGTGGGGTCCACACTCCTCCTGCCACTCCCAAATCCAGTAGGGGTCCACACTCCTCCTCCTCCCAAATCAGTGGGGATCCACACTCCATCCTGCACCTCCCAAATACAGTCTGAGCCCACGGGGCGCTCCGGGACCCATTCCTCTCTCCTCACCCTGCGCTAACACTTGCACCTGGCTCCCTCCTCACGCCGCCCCCACCAGGCAGCCCTTACTGCCCTCAGAACTTAGCAGAGTGACAGATTTTCCTTAATCTCAGTGTCCTCATCTATAAAATGGGACAATAAGCACCCCCTTCTCATGGTGCCGTGATGGGTGAAATGAACCCACACAGTGTAGCACTTAGAATTGTTCCTCTATGTAGTAAAACAATAAATGGCAATTACTATAAGTAACTCTTACTTGTTGCCATCTTTTCGAAGATAGGATACACACATCTCTAGAAACACTGGCTTTGTACACTGGCTTCAAAACACCAAAATCTTAAGTGCTGGGAGAAATGCTTTAAATTGATCTTATTTTGGTCCTGTTTGCTTAATGAGTCCATACCCTAACGCAAGTGTGGAAATGAGGGTTGCAACAAGCCAGTTGTGTGCGGCTGTGTCCCAGTGTAGACACTAGATGGACTGAGACTATGAGAGTGGCTCTTAGGGCCATATAGGGTAGACAAGAGCCACCTGAAACCAACATGACCCCTTAGGCCGGGTTGGCAGTGGTGTCGGTCACACTGAGTCCGTGACGATGGCAGTGAACATCCTGAGCAACCCACTCGGACTGGCAGGCACGCGCTCCGACGTCCCTCGCAGCAACCTGAAAACAAGCGGGGCAAGGATGACTCCTGGGCCTACGAGGAGGAAACAGGCCCCAGCTAAGGCAGTGGAGGCACAGGGCCCTGCACCCCAGCAGGCCTGGGGCTCCAGAGCACCCGACCGTGTGGCGGTGCCTCCCGATGGCGCAGCACCTCTCCCAAGGCTCCAAAGAGCGTCCTGAGGTGTCGAGTCAACGCACGCCCTCCCTGTGCCCCCACGCTGGCCCCCAGTGAAATGCACACGCACCTCAGCCCTGCAGAAAAGGGCTCTGAGCAGCCCCTGGGAGTGACCGCAACGGCGCCGGCTGGCTGGTGTGAGTTGGGAAGCACGCCTCCCTGGCAAAGGAGCACGTTTATATTTCTCTTCTCCAGAAATGTATTTTAATTTTGTAAAGGCTTTGCTTTCATAACAATGGTACATGCCATGATAAGAAATTCAGGCCGGGCGCATGGCTCACGCCTGTAATCTAGCACCTTGGGAGGCTGAGGCGGAGGATCGTTTGAGCTCAGGGGTTCGAGACCAGCTGAGCAAGAGCAAGACCCCGTCTCTACTAAAATAGAAGAATTAATTGGCCAACTAAAAATATATAGAAAAAATTAGCCAGGCATGGTGGCGCATGCCTGTAGTCCCAGCTACTCGGGAGGCTGAGGCAGGAGGATCTCCTGAGCCCAGGAGTTTGAGGTTGCTGTGAGCTAGGCTGACGCCACGGCACTCTAGCCCAGGCAACAAAGTGAGACACAGTCTCAAGAAAGAAAAAAAAGAAAAACAAAGAAATTCAAATACCACTGAAGAGTAGCAAAACCAGCATTCTCCAGTGGTCCAGAAACCCAGCGCCTCTGCCGCCCAGGGAACGTTATGGAGACGTGGCTCTACTTCATCTCCAGAGGAAAGGACAGGGAGATGGCTGGAAATTTTTACAAAAATGGGCTCATGCAATACCCATTCTTTTTAGAAAAAGTACTGTATTTAAATTTAACATAACAAAAGGAAACCTAAATGTAACTAAAGAAATTGCCAAGCTGCAAATAATTATGCTTCCTTTTATGTTTCTAAATTATTTCTTTAAAGGAGAGAAAAATATTAAGCGGCTGGATTCTTTCTTTCAACATATTTCAACTGCAGATGGCATCTCTTGACAACCTGCGATTTAGGTTGAGGAAATGAGCTCACCACCGCTTCCTACCTCCCTCCCCCTCCCAAATTTTGTGAGTTCGTATTTTTACATTGTCAAGGTTTATACTACTGACATCCTGTCCCGTGGCCGCCGTTCCCACGATTGTTTGGCGTCGGCTGTGTGTGCGTGGATGCCCCGCTCGCTGCCTGTCCTTTCAGAGTGGGTTTTTCCATTCCTGGCTCTTCCATTTTCATTCACCCCATGGCGGCCTTGACTTTGTCATCAAGGAGAATTGCAAGAAGGGCTGAGTTGGTCGCACTCACAGGGGTGCGGCTGCCAGGCCGCAGGCTGGATATGGGGGGTGCGTGGGCTCTAAAGTTGGCTGATTTATGCCTGATGAAACTTATATAAAACGGACAAGCATTATACCTTCTATTATTATTACTTGCTAAAAAGCTGACTCTTGAACTTGTATCTGGTGACACATTGTTGAAGTTTTAGAATTTGGAAATAAAGAAAATGACTTGGGTGGGGCCCAGAGAGCACTGTGTCCAGAGAAAGGACATGCCAAGCTTCTGGCTCTATGACCAACCCCCCTACGCCCAGCCCCTGCCCGCTTCATCCCTTTGATAGCTTTGCCCTATCCCCTCTTCACTTGCAAAAATCTAACTTCTTCAAGGCCTAAGTCACCCCCTCTGTGAAGCCTTCCGTAAGGTTTGGATTGTTATTTGCAAATATTTACTTCCCTCCCCTCCCACTGTGGGAGGAGTAACTCCAGGCCCTCCCACCCCTTTCTTTAAAAAAGATTTTCCATCCCCACTCCAGCTGCCCCCTCTAGTCAACCCCAAACCCAGACAACAGGTGCCCGCAGACCTTTGGCAGGCCCCAATGGCTGCCTCCAGACGCCTTTGCTCTTGGGCTCTGGTGGGCTTGCTGGTGCAGCTCACACTCTTGTGCTTCTGCCCTTGACATGAGCAGAGCTTCCCCGTGGGTAGTCCCAGGTTCCAGAGCAAAGAGAGATGGGACGGTCCCCAACCAAACCCAGGCTCAGGAGCCAATCTAGCCAGGCCCAGCTGAAACTGGCAGGGCTCCCACAGTCAATCTGCAGACACATGAGCCACAAATAAATACTTACAATAGTAAGCCATTGCATACTGGGGCCGTTTGTTACACAGCATTG